CCTGAGGTCGAACAGACCTGGTATTTAATTCTGACTCTCTTTCTCATTAGCTGTGCGATCTGGGCAAGTTACTTAACCTCTCTGAGCCTCAGCCTCCTCATCTCCAACATGCTTATTTCTTAGACTCCAGTGAGGATTAAATGAAATGGAGCACGTCAAGTGCCTGGCCTATATTGGTACCCAGGAAAAAGCGACAACATTCCTCCATTCCTTAATTCATTTCATAAACATTTCAAGATCTTTCCAGAAACCTGGAAGTCCCCTGCCCACCCTCACCTCATCTAGATCAGGAGACTATCAGCTCCTGCCTGGACCACAGCAGCCGCCTCCAACCTCCCTTATGACGCTCTTACTGGATTTTAATCCCTGCTCCCCACACTTGCCAGAGTGATCTTTCTAATCTGAAAAATCTGATTGTAGCACTCACTCAACACCCTTCGGTAGTTTCTGATTGCCTTCGGGAGAGATTATACAGTCTTTGTCACAGCTCATAAGGCACCGCGGACTTGTTCTTCGCACATGCCGTTCCCTCTGCCTGAAATAATCTGCCCTCCCTCCCTCCCTCTCTCCTCCGCCTCTGGTGGCTATCCTCTTCACCTCGACATCCTTTCATCAGGGTTTAACTTAAATATCACCTCCTCCGGGAAGCTTCCTATGATTCCTTGTCTCCAGATGAATTCAAGCAACACAGCCGCGTGCTCCTACAGCACCCCATCCATTCCCAAGCAGCTTCCTTGTCAATCTAGATAACAGCTGCTTGCTTAATCGCCCAGGTTCCGGCCATCAGTTGTAAACCACATGAGGTCAGAAGTCCCTCCATGATCAACACTGTGTCCTGTGGTAATAACAATACGGTGGACAGTCACTTACTATTGGTTTAGAGGATGGATGGCAGGTGGATGGATGAATGGATAGATAAATGGGAACATGACACCTTCCCTGTAAAGTCTTCCTGGAATCCTTTGAGCAGGGAGTTTCCCAGCTGTGCTTCGTTACACTCATGACAAGCCTCTACCCAAGACTTAGTTTCCTCAGCTATAAAATGGGAAAATAAGAGTACCTCCCTCCTGGGGGTATTCATATTAAATGGCATACGCCATGTAATAGTTTCAAGTCCATGCTAATAATAGGTTGGTCAATTTATTTTATTAATATATTTTTAATTAATTTATTTATTTTTAGAAAGGGGAAGGGAGGGAGAAAGAGAGGGAGAGAAACATCAATGTGTGGTTGCCTCTTGCATGCCCCATTCTGGGGACCTGGCCTGCAACCCAGGCATGTGCCCTGACTGGGATTCAAAGTGGAATTCAAAGGCAACCCTTTGGTTCTCAGTCCAGTGCTCAATCCACTGAACCACACCAGCCAAGGCTAGGTTGGTCAATTTAAATGAGATAATCCACATTAAGTGCTTTAGAACAAGATCTTGCACTTAGTAAGTGTTAAAAAATAGTATTAGCTGCAATAATGATCAGAGCATTTATCATTTCTTCCTTTCTGTGATCCCTGCCAAAGAGTGAGCTCCTCCGGGTACTGCTTACGTCTAACTTATTTTTGGACACTCCACCACCACCTGGCAAAGCCTCACTAGGTGTTTTCAGTAAATGTTTACTGAGTGAACAAATGAATGCAGATTTGCCAGCTGGTGACTCAGGGCACAGCACGCCCTTTCCCCACTCACAAACCCAGACACACACTAACACACAGTCTGCCACATTCACACCCACTCACGTTCGTGCAAAGAACCCCAGTACACCACAGAGGGGGCGCCCGGCTTCCTAAAGTTGGGCATATGTAAATGCAGAACTTACCCACTTTCTTGCACCCCCCACCCCACCTAGATGACCCTCGCCCTCGCCCCGCCCCTGGAGTGACGGGGCTGTAGGAGCGAGGGGGTTCCCACTCACCAGGGGGAAGCAGAGCTGCACCTTAGCCCCCAGCACTAGCGCATCCCAGCTACAGAGAGCCCTGCCCTCCCATCCCTCCCCGCTCACCTTCTTCCCTTTCTGAAAACCTGGATCCCTGATCTTGGCAGGTGGCTGAGGAAGAGGCTGGGGAGCCAGAATTCCAGGGTTCCTTTCTCGCTCATCTAGTCCTGCCTCTGAACCTTGAAGGAGAGGCCATCATCCTCTCCTGCTAGTGCCAAGCACAGCAGTCTGTGGGAAGAAGGCAGGACCAGGAGACTGGAGGCCTGAAGTGGTGGACGGGCTTCTTAGCCTTGAGGTGGAATAATTTTCATTTACTGGGTGCATTACAAGGGTCAGATACTGAGCCCCATGCTTTCTATTCGTTGTATCTCATTTAATACTCACTCCCCTTTTCCCAGAGCAGAACACTTGAGGCGCTGCACGTTAACGACTAACCTAAAAATCAGCAGCTGGGATGGGTACGCAGGTCTCTGGTTCCAGAACCTTCAACCACTTAGGGAGTTTGGGGTGGATTGGTTGGTGAGAGTGCTGGGGGTCCTCAGGTACTGAGCCGAGGAGGACCGCCCCCAGCCCCCACCAGGCAACATCCGTCCCTATCAGCCAGACCCTCATCTCCTTCGGAAAGAGGCGCCCGACGCCGCGGCTGTGGTGCACAGCCCTCGCGACCTGGGTGGAGCCGGGGCAGGGCCTGGTGAGCCCGGGAGACGCGGACCGGTGGCCCAGGCTCACAGGCTAAGATGGCTGTTAATTAAAGTGCTGGCACCAGCTCCTCTCTGCAAAGTTTGAAGCCGTTATTTTCCACTCCAGCGAAGCGGGGAGAATCCGGCTGGGCTGACAGAGACGCCACACCGCGCCAGGGGAGCAGGCGTCCTTCCTGGGCGGGGGGCGGGCCGCCTTGGACGCCCGGGCGGGCGCGGGCGGTGGGTGCTCCCGCCCCTCCTCGACCTCCGCCGCCCGCCGCGGTTTCTCAAGCGGACTCTGCGAGGGCTTTGCGGGGCGGGAGCGGGGCAGGGGGTGGCGGAGGACCCCCAGCGGCAAAACGGAGGAGGGACCTGTTTGCATGAGAACCAAGGGGGTGTGGGGTATACAAATCTTATGCGAATAACCGCGCACACTTGTCCCTCGGGTCACCAGCGCTGTCGCTCTTCGGCGACTCATATTGGGGGAGGCCGCGGTGGGGGACAGGACGCCCGACTGACAGCGGAGAGCTGAGGGCTACGGTTCCTGAGCCTGGGGAGCGCTAGCTGCCGGGAGCGCCCCGCCCCCTGCACTTGACACCTTCCTGCCTCTGGGCAGTGGCAGTGAACAGCGCCTGGAGACGCAATGAGGTGGAAACTGGAAGAGCATGGAGCCAGGCTGAGGGTTTGAATCCCGACTCTACCATTTACTGGTTGTGTGATTTACGGCAATCTTTTAATTTGCCACAGCTCCTGTAAAATGAGAAAAACGATGCATTTCATCCTTATGGACTGGTGTGAGGATCAAGTGTGACCGCATACCTACAGCGTTCAGCACGGGCCCTGGCACACACGTAGTAAGGCCTGAATACATGCTACCTGCTGGATTGTTTTAGCTCCCTCCTTGGCCGCGGGTGTCCCTGTAACCTGGGATCAGCCATCAGTGCTTGGAAGGTCCTCAGTCACAGCCCCCCACTCGGTATCCTGCTGCCCCTTTCACCCGTCCAGCTCTGGGTGAGGTTAAGCAATCTCCGCCTTGAGTAGTGGGAGCCAGGGCAACATGAGGACCCAATGTCAGGTCAGCAGGGGTAGAGTGTGAACTGGGAGGGGACCTCTCAGGAGAAAGGAAAGAGGCCGGAGGATCATCCTTTAGCAGTGGCCAGAAACCTCCAAAAAGCCAGAGCCCGCCCTGGTGGGCCGGATAAAGGGGGGCGAAGCAGGAGCGGTGAGGCAGCATGAGCTGAGCCTCAAATAATGTGACAAATATTTTTATGGAAGCAGACACATTTCAGTTTATGCAACCTAAACACTTTACTGCACTTGAGGAAGAAAATTGTCTCCTACAACCTGATGGAGAGAAGAATTAGGGGCTGCTGAGAAGGCTGGGCTACGGAGGAGGAGCTGGGTGTTGCTCAGCCTTTCCGTTTAGAGGCTGGACATATTTGTGCTGGTCAGAATGAAGAAATAATGGGAGGTGACCACTTTCTTAGTGCCCCCAGTTCTCGCTGCCTAAAAAAGATAAGGAAAATGATCAGAGGAGAATGGAGGCGCGCCCCCCGCCCCCCAGGATAAAGCAGCCTGGTCTGGCCTGGGGCTAGGTGAGGAAGGGTCAAAGGAGGGGAGGAGGGGTAGAAGATTCCGCCCCTCTCGGCGGGGAAGGCGGGTCCGAGAACAGCCAGAGGCCAGAAAAGAGGAGGGGGCGGCTGCCGTTAGTACTCGGGAGCCCGCTAGTTACCCCGACAGGCAGGCGATCTCCCCTGGATCTCTCCCGGGTGGTGGTCTTCGTGTCCTGAGTGCGGAATGGCCCCTCCCCACCCTGCTTTTGCCTCCTCCTCTGGTCCCCGCTCACAACCCTCTTTCTTGTCCTTTCTGTTCCCCTCTCCGTTCTCCCCTCAATCTCTTTCTTTGTGCCCCCCTCGTCTCCGCCTCCTGCAGACCGTGGGCCCTTTCACGTCTTTCTGTCTCTCTTGGTTTTCCTTGTAACCGACCCTCGAGGCCTCTCCTCTCCCAGTCTCCCTCGGCTCCAACTGTCCCGGGGGCCCTTTCTTCCATTCGCTCTCTGGTCCCTCCTCTCCCCTTCCCTATTATAGGAACCTCTTCTCAGACTCATGCCCCCTCCTCATCTCGCTCCCTCACTCTCCCTGCCTCTCCAGGCTCCAGTTCTCCCCTCCGCGGTACCGCCCCTTCGGCCCCGCCCCCTATTGGTGGGCGGGGCCATATCACCGGAGACCCAATTAGATGCCGGCTCCGCCTTCAGCCCCGCCCATCCCGGGCGCTGAGTCGAGCGCAGCGGGCGGAGAGGGGCGGGGCGGGAAGGAGGGGTGGTGGCCCCCACGCTAGGAGGCGGGAGGAGCTAGGCGGGAGGCTGCGGCTGCCGCGCTCAGTCCGGCCGCGCAGCGGGAGGGAGGCGCGAAGCAGGACCCGGCGGCTGGCCTCGGCAGCGCATCCAGCGCAGCGCGGCGCCCCGGGTCCGGCCCCATGCCCGCAGCCCTGCCGGACCGCCCTTGAGCGCGGGCTCCCCGCCCGCGCCTCCCGCCCGCCGGCACCATTGCCCCGACGGCGCGGCCGGGTAGCCCGGCTCTCCCCAGGCTCCGCGCCGGCCGGAAGACTCTGCTGGCGGCCGCCGCGGGCGTGGTGATGCTGCTGGTGCTGGTGGTGCTCATTCCCGTGCTGGTGAGCTCGGGCGGACCGGATGGCCACTATGAGATGCTAGGCACCTGCCGCATGGTGTGCGACCCCTACCCCGCGCGGGGCCCCGGCGCCGGTGTGCGGCCCGACGGCGGCGACGCCCTGAGCGAGCAGAGTGGCGCGCCCCCGCCCTCCACGCTGGTGCAGGGCCCCCAGGGGAAGCCGGGCCGCACAGGCAAACCTGGACCCCCCGGACCCCCCGGGGACCCGGGTCCTCCAGGCCCGGTAGGGCCGCCAGGGGAGAAGGGTGAGCCGGGCAAGACCGGCCCTCCCGGGTTGCCGGGAGCCGGGGGCAGTGGCGCCATCAGCACCGCCACCTACACCACGGTGCCCCGTGTGGCCTTCTACGCCGGCCTCAAGAACCCTCACGAGGGTTATGAGGTGCTGAAGTTCGACGACGTGGTCACTAACCTAGGCAACAACTACGACGCGACCAGCGGCAAGTTTACGTGCAACATTCCCGGCACCTACTTTTTCACCTACCACGTCCTCATGCGCGGCGGCGACGGCACCAGCATGTGGGCTGACCTCTGCAAGAACGGCCAGGTGGGCCTAGCGGGGGCGCGGGGTTGGCCTTGGGGCAGGGAACGCAAGGAGCCTGAGGCATACGGGTACCCGGTCGGAATCGGCCGGCGCAAGTGGAAACGCTACAGCAGCCCGGCCCCAGGCATCGCATGCTGGGGGGCGGTCGGGGCTGGCTGGTGCCCGTAACTCCTCAATTCCTGGCGCCGACTCCAAGGCAGACGCTGCTGGGCACCCGCCGCATGGAAATGCGGGAGATAAATCGAACCAGTGGGAGCGCAGGACTCCCGGGAGCGCAGGCTGGCCCTTGGGGGGCTTGGCCCTTGGGAAAAGGCATTTGAGAACTGGGAGTCTGGTTGACACCAGCGGGACATCTGGTGGGGGCGGGGGGCGGGGCAAGATGGGAGAAGGCAGCCTCAGTGCCTGTGGGCTCCCAGGTGCATGCATGGCTGTGCTCGCCAGCCAGCAGAGAAGGCGAGCTGTAGATGTTTTGGGCACTAAGGCAAAGGGAGCCTGGTGCCCAAAGCCTTAGCTGCAACACACCCCCCACCCTTGGGAAGGGATCACTGGGCCGATCTGACACCCTTTTCAAAACCCAGAACTGCTGGGCCCCTTGTCACTGTGTAAGAACCACGGAGCGAGAATGTGGCCTGGAGGCGGAGCAAAGTTCTCCCCCCTGAGGCTGGGCAAAGAGGTGGAAACTCCGTCTCCTCTTGGTTTCCCAGCTGCAACTCCTGACTCCTGGAGTGTGGGGGAATGCTCTTAGTTCCCTGACCCCATCCCAGAGATCAGAGCTGGAAGGTGTCAAGCATGTAGGGTCTTTGGTACAAGGACCTGCAGTGCCTGGTGCTCTTCTTGGAACTGCTACCCCAGGACCAATCTGGGCCCAACCCTACCCCAGGGCCACAGTTTTGCCCAGCTCCCTTCCCTTTTGACAACCCCTCCCTTCCCAGTGCTTCCAGATCTCACTGCGGCCTGGGAACACTGGGGGTGGTCCTCAGGCCAAGAATTTCTGTGGAAAAAGGGGACCTGCTCAGGCCATAATGAAAGCTAGTCTAGTGGGAGTTCGGAAGGAACCTCCTGCAACCGAGACCCAGGACTCCGTTGGAACCCTTCCCACTACAGCATTGCCCTGACGTAGACCCTGGTTTGGGGGTGGGGGTCAGCAAAAAGCTGGCCCACCAGGTGCTTGTAAGTAGTGCCCCTCCTTTCCCCACTGCTGCTTCTTTCTCTGGTTCCCGCCCCTCCCCTGCCTCTTTCTTCTATCTCTCTGTCTCTTGTGCCTGTCTCTTTCTTGTGTCTACCAGTCCTGTCGTCTCTCCCTGAGGGTTTTTGGCCTCCCTCTCCTGGGTTTAACTCCACTCATCCCCCCCCCACCCCCTGTTCTTCGGGTGTCTCTCTCCCACTTGTGTCTGTCAGGCTTCCGTATCTCTCCTCTTTGTCCTTGGTTTCCGACCAAAAGGAAGGCCCCAGTATCCTGCAAGGGCTCAGTCTGCAGACAGCTCCATGATTCCCCTTATTAATCACAAATAAGGGATGCAGCAATGTCACCTTCATCAATGGAATTTCTTCCTTTCCCCCAAAAAAGTTTGGCCTGGCACCAAGCTGAGATTTCAGAGGGCTGGGGGCCTAGGTTGTCTGGAGAGGGAGGTAAGTGGTCACCAGACCACCAGTGGGCTTTAGACCCTGCACCGCCTTGGGGGATTGCAGCAGAGCCACCCAGATGAGACAAGAGGAGGCCCCAAATACAGTGCATGCTTAGGGCAGGGGCATTTGCTTGGGGCAGGGGCATTTGCGAAAGTCACTGGGAGGTCAGACACACTCAGAAGACTACCCCCTCTTCTTTCCCTCCCAGCAGGGGCAGGGCATTAGCCAGAGCCTGACAAGGAGGTAGACCCAGACAGACTAGTGGAAGCAAGGAGGTGGCTTTAACTGGGGGTTTCAAAACCCACATTGTAACAGTTACTCAGACCATTCCCTCCCCTCCTCCAAAAAAAGACAAATAGTGTGGTGGATGTCCCCCTCTCCCACATCCTTGGTGACCTCTCCTTCCAGATTATCCAAGAGACTCATTTAAATCTCACTAATCATTCCACCTATTCCTTTTGGGCCCCCACTAGGAGCCAGGTTTGGGGCTTGGCTCCAGGGGTTCGATGTGCTTGTCCTCCAGGACCCCATGGTCTGTGCAGGGGGGGCAGAAGGGACTGCACAGTAACGCACCCCAGTGATTACTGTGTTAGAGGGGGGCTGGAAGCCCAGCCGGCAGCTCTTGTGCCCAAGTGCGTTGGCTGGAGGGACTGATACAGTGGAACCTGCCCTGGCTCAGACCAACCTGGTTGGGGAAGAGGATGGTAAACCCCGGGCTCCCAAGCTGAAGGAGCATGGCTAGAGAGAAGAAAAGGTCAAGCATAGGGAATGACTGGCTCAGAGGCAGAAGAGGACATTCAGATGAGCAGAGGAAAAGACGACAGAGCTGGGCAATGGATGGGAACAGAAGAGAGGAGCTTGCACCTTCCATGCCTTCAAGACCAGGGGCAGCCATGGGCTCTGTGCTTTTCTTCCTGGCTTCCTTCCTGCAGAGAGGCCTCCAGAATTTCTTCGGGAAGGCAGACGTGCTTCTGTGCTCTGGCTCTTCCTTGGACAAGATGGAGAGGAGGGAAGTCACCACCTTCCTTCCTGGTTCTAAGGCCCCTATGTGTCCTTGTCTGAGTCCCACAGGCCCCTCTCCCCAGGGGTAGTTTTGAGTCACCACCATACAGCCTGATGGCACCAAGCCCTAGTTATTAGGATGTGGGGACCTGAGGAGGCAGGGGAAGTGGCTCTTTGTTGGGGCTGGTATGCTGGGTGACCTGAGTCCCCTGCAGCTGCCTCTTAGATACCCAGATGGGTCAAGGAGAACAGGAAATGGATAAATTGGGCTGGGGGAGGGGGGCTGTGTGGGGACAGGCTGGGCCCTAAGGGAAGGTGAGTATAGCGAACAGGCAGGGGCTTAGATATGTCTGAGTGAGGTGAGAAGTGGTGGGGTTTATAAGTTGAGGGCCATGGTATAAAGACCTAACTGGAGATCAGCTTCTTGCCCGATCGTGGAAGAGGGGCCACCAGCTCTCTTCTTGGGCCTCTGATGCCTTTCAGATGGCACAGGGCACAGTGGGGACCCAGTGAGTATGTGTCCCCCGCAGACGAGGCTAGCTGCCTTTTAGGAGGCACACCTGAACTTCTAAGACCCCAGCGATGACCTGGGGGCAAGGGCACACTTCCTGGGTTCTCCCCCACCCCTTCCAGGCCCCTGGTCAGAGGACTGCCTCAGTTTCCCTTCCTGGTAGCCCTTGGAGAGGTGGTTCTACAGCGCCCCCTCCTGACAAGTCCCAGACTTGCTTTCCAGCTTCCACAACAACCTCAATTCCCCAAACTCTCCCTTGGTCCTCAGGAGACACTGGTGCCTCAGCTGTTTCCAGTCTTGGGCAGAGAAGCAGAACCCCTGGGTTCCATTCCTAGATCCCTCCCCATCTAAGCACGGGAGGGCATAAATTCTCCCTGCCTCCATGGATAATTAGGATAATCACAGCAACGATCATGGTGATGAATAAATAATAAACATAACCATAACAGTTCTGACGCCTGTCACATCACCAGGAGATTCCTGGTGACAGATGACTCTATTCTAATGGGTTTTGCTATTAACAAGCACTGTTTTAATGAGTTAAGGCTAAATTAATCTGAGTAATAAAAATAATTGTTATTAGTAGTAATTTATTAGCAAAGATAATGAAATGCATGCGTAATAATAAATACTACCACGATTAGGGCCCAGGGAACAATGCAGAAGTTGGCTGCTCACTTTGAGCTCTTCCCTAGTAGCTCAAGGCTCCAGCAAGATTAAAAATTCTCTTCACCATCAAAAGGCTTTTTAAAGGTGGCAGTGGTGAGGCAGAATCTTCTCCACCCATTTTCTAAACAGAGAAACTGAACGTCTTGACAAACGAGGTCTCCCCCTCATTTGCTATCTCCCCTCCTTTAGGTGGACCCTGAGTTTTCCCAGCTAAGTGCCCCCAAACAGCGAGCGCCTTCCCAGGTTGGGGAGGAAGAGGCTGAGGGGAGAGAAGACGGCTGGGAGGATCGGGGCTTTACCTGGCAGTCTGCATGCGAATATGTGGGGGACTCCTGTTACAGCACTGCCGCCGAGTCAGCAGCTTGGGCACAGCTGACCTGCCGTCCTCCCTCCAGCCCAGGAGGTTGGCCCCTCCCCTAATTTGGATTGGTACAGCTCAGACTGTCAGCCCCTGGGGTAGCTGTTTTAGGAACTGGGCGAGAGGGAGTGGGGCTGTTGAGGAGCCTGGCTGAGTGAACCCCACTCAATACATCCTCCCCGCAACACAAGCCAGAACCTTGGAAATGGCTCCGCTCTTCCTGTGGACCACCCAGGATATGCTGGAGATGCCCCAGGTCCTGTGGCTGAGTGAAGCCTTGCCATTGCCTCAGCCATGGAAGAGGAATGTCTGGAGGGAATTTGTCAACTACTGCCCACTTCCAGTATCTTTTGATTACAGTCGGAGCCTACAAAAGTGAGGGTGGCAAGCTTCAAGCCCAAATGCTGCTGCCCCCTTGCCCCATTGTAAACATAACCCTCCCCTCCTCCATCAAAACAAGGACCAGCAAGGATATCAGACCAGACTGAGGACCACAGAGGGGTGTAAGGGTTCTCTTCTTCCCACCCACGTTCTCTCCGCCACCGCTGGCTGAGACAGGAGTCAGAACTGCTCTCGGAGTGAGGTAGTTATCACAGGTAGACCTGCAGCTCCTTGGAGGTGAGCGTGGGGTCCAGTCTGAGCCATCAGAGGGGGGATAATAACCAGGCCTCCCATCCCGCTGCTCTGTTGTGACAGACTCCAGAATGAACTTCAGACAAGGAGTCCCAAATCTGGGCCATGGTAGTAAGGTGGTTGCTGACCAGTAGTAGCCTGGCAATGGTCCATCCAGTGCCCTGACGAATGGGGCCTAGGTGTGCCCTGTGTATGTCCTCTGACATGAGAGCAGGTGAATGTGGCCGAAAAGCAAGGTGTTCTTACAATTAATGCAGAGAGAAAGGAATGATGAGCAAGAAGGGCCCTTCCTCCTTGGGGATCCAGAGAATTCCTCTCTGCAAGGAGAGGGTCCAGGTTGAGCCATCCTGGAGGCATGGCTGAGGTTCTCAGCAGGCCGGATGGTGAGACCCAAGGAAGTCAAGGAAGCAGGCTCCACCTTGACTCCCAGTTCAGATTACAGCAGCCCTAGAAATCCAGGGCTGCTCTGTAGTCACCTGAAACACACGTTGTGATTGGAAAAGGGAGCAGGAATGATGGGAGAGAAGCAGGCTGAGAGCGCTGATGGGGCTGGAGGTGGGGCTTTAGGGCCTTCAGGTCTTCCCCTGTCCTTGCCTTACCCCTGACGGCTCCCCTCCCTCTGTGACCCCACTTCCCTCCCTCCTCCCCGACCCCTGGCTCACATCCCTACTTCCCTACTCCCACCCCCTCAGGTGCGGGCAAGCGCCATTGCGCAGGACGCAGACCAGAACTATGACTACGCCAGCAACAGCGTGATCCTGCACCTGGACGCGGGCGACGAGGTCTTCATCAAGCTCGACGGAGGAAAAGCGCACGGCGGCAACAGCAACAAATACAGCACGTTCTCCGGCTTCATCATCTACTCCGATTGAGCTCCCCGCGTCCCGATCGCCCCCGGGGCTCCCCGTCCATCCTGCCGGGCAGAGGATCACCCACCCCCGCCCGCCTCTTCGCTGCCTCCCTGGATGAGATGCCCGGGCCCGTCCTCACTACCGCCTGGGCCGCAGAGCCCGGCCCCATGCGCTCCATCCTGGTCCCGAGGACGCAGGGGGCGCTGACCGCCCCTCCCCGGCCTGCGCTGTATATTTGTACAATAGGACTGTTCACTGCCCACCCTTCCCGCCAGCCCGTCCAAGCCTGCGGACGGCCCGAGCAAGGCTTCCCGGGCTCAGATGCGCGGCCCTCCCGCTCCGGCTCTGGGGTGGCGCTCCCTGGGGAAGGGGTGGGACGGGAGCTGGACAGCTCCCCGGCAGCCCCCAAAGCCGGTCCCCAGTGGCGCCCTGTCTGACCAAAGCTATAATAAAAACACTTCCACCCCGCTGGATTTCGGTCCGTGCGCCGAGAAGGAGTTGCAGGAGGGGAACACGACCCCGCCCTCTCCACGCTGCGGGAAGGCGTCTGCCGGGAGCTACCCGAGGATCTGAGGGAAGCCGGGGGAGCCACAGCCAGAGCTGCTCCGGGGTCCCAGGGCCCCGATGCCCACCACAGCCTAGAAGAGCCTGGGCGGCTGGAACGGGAGGCCGTCCAGTTACATCCTCCTCTTCCGTGGTCGATAAGTTTCATTTTCTCATCCTTGAAAGTGGCGCCAGCATTCCAAAGGCACAGCAAAGTTTAGACTGAGAGGCGTGGGTTCTCAGCCAGTGTGCCGCCCGCTGTGATCCTGGGCAGGTCGCTCCTCTCCGACTCAGTTCTGGGGTGGTGACAGACTCCCTAAAAGCTGGTGGACTTCGGCCCCAGTGCTTCACCTCTGGGCCTCGGTTTTCTCATCTATAAAATGCAGGTGACCCACCTCACTTGACTGAGGATTAAAGAGATACAAACTCGTGTGCCCAATAGAAATAGCTTTTATTATTTATACAACACTTTAAAGTTTGCAAAAATGCTTTCAGGTATGTCACCTCGAGTCTCCCCAGAGCCCTGGGATTCTGGATGAGCAGATTGCATGCTTCTTCCAGCAGTTAAATCCTCACTCACTGAGACAGTCCCTGAGTCCTGGGGTTGCACTTGGATCCAAGAAGCCCTGCTCCCTGGAGATGACACACTAAGCCCCTTCGCCGTCACTGTCTCCCTTGCTCCCTGTAACTGGGGCTGTGACAGTCACACAGTTAGGGCATTTCCAAACAACACTTGCTGATATCTAGAGAGCACCCACTCTGTATCCGACACCATACAGGAATCATATAAATGCCTCATGGGTGTGTGTGTGTGGGGGGGGGATTGTGAGGACATGCTCTCATGCCCTTAATGGAAACTGTTACTTTATCTAAGGCTTGGAGAGGTTAAATCATTTGCCAAGGTCTCAGATCTAGGAAGAGGCAAGTGCCGGTATTGGACCATGTCTTGCCGGGTACACTGTATTTCATAAGGATCTGGGATCTCCCAGGCAAAACTGAGGAAGGACGGCAGCGAAGCAGCTCGGGTGCCCTCCCCCTCACATTCAGCCCTTGGCTCCCACCCCTGCCCTGCAGAAGCTTGGTGTATTTACAAGCATTTGCCCTGGGAGGCAGCCATGGGGTAAGCCTTTCGGAGAATCCCAAGGCTCTACACTGAGGGGAAGGTTCCATCTGGCCTCCCCCACCCCCCACCGGCCGGCTCAGCTGGACAGACAGGAAAGAGGGGGTGGCCTCCCTTCCAGTCCAGCTCCATGTATGGGCCCTTGTCATGGCCGGTAGACTTGAATGACTTTCTTTATCCTCCCTTCTCTCCCCTGCTTCCCCTACTGCCAGCTGTGGCCATTTAATAAAATTAGCTTAATACTTGTTCCTTCCCTGTGGGGTCTGAAGATTGAAATCTGCAGGTCCCCACAAACCCAATAAAACCCCTGGCAGATCGGGCTGGAATGAGAATTTTCTTGGGAAGAGTGATTAGATTAGACAGCACTCCCCTGCCCCCAGCCGCCTGGTGCTGCCCACAGCCCCCCTGTGAATTTCTAATGGCCACATTAGTCCAGAATTACCCGGCCACCACACCTGGGGGCACCCCGGTCCTCCCCAGGGACCACAGACACTGGTCTAGGACCTCTGCTACAGTAAAGAGCATGTTAATAATTTCTGTAGGGAGTGCCTGGCTGGCTGGCTTTCTTGTCTTTCTGGTGACTGGACAATCCTTATGTCATTTTGAGAGATGAGCCTGAAGTCTTCGTTTTGCAGATTGAGGAAATCACAGTCTGAAGAAAATTCGTGACTTGCCCATGGTCATGCAGCAAGTTCGTGGCACAGCTGGGACTGGACTGAAGCCAAAAACTGTCTCTTTCTTTGCAGGACACCAGAAGTGTCCAGCAGTGCCAATTGTCAGCTGCTTGTCACTTGAGCAACATTCTGGCTGCAAGACCTGTTGGGGACATGTCTTCTCCATCAGACAGGGGCTCCCCAAGGGCAAAGTCTGCTTTTCTCCCCCCCTCAGACTTGGGACACCCAAGGTCAAGGACTGTGTTTTCACCATCAGAATGGAAAGCTTCTTGAAGGCAAGGTCTCTGGCTCCTCCGTCAGACTGGGGGTCCTCCAAACAGTGGGTTTTTTTAGTGAGTTGAGGGTAATGTGAGTATCTCCAGAGAATGCGGATTGTGTGTGTGTGTGTGGGGGGGGGGTTCCTGGAAGCAGAGATTGTGGCTTTTTTCTCAGTGGTTCTGAGGGTAGATATTGTACTTTTTCTATGAAACTAGGGCTTTCTGAGACCAGACCCTGGAAGTGGGGGTTCCCCAAAGAATAGACTGTGTGCCCTAATCCACCTTGGGGCTCTCTGAGCACAGGAACTGTGTTTCTCTCAGACTGGAAGTTGCCTGAAAGTAGGGAATGTGTCCCCCTCCTCCTCCTCAGGGGCCTTTCTGGCACAGGAACATTCCAGAGCACAGAGCTGGCTGGGTAGTAGAAAGGAGATTGCACAGGTAGAATGGTGATCCTCCTCTGGAGGAAGGAAGGAAGAAACCTCCCCAGGCCGCCTCCGTTTTAGGAAGACATGTGATTAATTAATGAACAATGTCCCTGCCCGGGGGGTGTAAGGTTGGAGGAGCCTCTGGAGCTCACCTACACAAAGAATGGCAGGCCACTAGGCGTTGATGCTGCCCTGGTTTCTGGGGTCATGGGGACCAGAGGGGTAGAAGAGCCCACCGCTGGGGACCGCCCTAATTGGATGACTTTGCAGGAAAGCCAGACAGGTGCGCTGGGCTCTCACCACTTCAGGTTGCTACAAACACGTCTACCATGGTAAGGTCTAGGGGTTAATTGCCTCCTGCCTCACTCCTGGTAACCAATATTTCATTTACTGCTCGGAGGGGGAGCTGCCCAGAGAATCAATCCCGGACAAGCATCCAGGAGACAGGGGAGCTGCTTCTGGGAGGATCTCGGAGCACCAGCAGGAGAGGCAGGAAGCGAGCCCCCAGAGAAGGCGGCCAATTGCTCACGGATACCCCGGGCCTCATTCGAGTTCTACCGACCCTGACAACAGTTCCAAGATCGCCCAGGGCTGGGAGAAATTCGCAGGGGTCCAGAGGCTGCATCACTGCAGCCCGCAGCACTGTTTCTCCTGCCCTGGTTCCTTCCGAATTTATTTATCTGGGTGCTCCCATAGGCGGTAGCAGGCTAGATGCTGTTAATAAGGTGATTTTCACAAGCGATGACGGTATATTTGAAAATCGGAACTGGAAGCGTGAGCTCCTCACTCCCTTCCAGGTAAGAAGCCTTAAAATACTACAAATGAGGTGACAAATGGAGTGAAAGTGAACCGTCCACACATGTTTGGAACCGGGAGAGGTGGCAGGATTAGAGAGGGGGAAGCTGGGGGCTGGACGAGGAAGGGCCAGAGGACTACCTGCCCCCCATACTCTCCACACGCTACCCATTTGCCCCATCCACCAAAGCCACAAGACGTAACTCCCGTTACACAGCTGGAAGGACGGAAGTGCAGAGAGGGGTCAGGATAGCTAGAACCAGAGACAGCAGGACCCACTAGACACGTGACACTGACACAGAAGCACTCAGATCCTGGCCACGCTCAGTGTTTCAGGAAAAGACACCTCTCTGAGCCCCTGTTTCTCCATCTATAAGATGGAGCCAGATAATAAAAATATATTTACTTGAAGGCCGTTGTGAGGCAGTGGGTGAGGACCTGTTTGTAAACTATAAAGCAAATGCATTTTTATTATTACAACCCAAGTCTCCTGAGTCCCATGATTTAAAATTCTTTTGGCGCCTTGGCTGGTGTGGCTCAGTGGACTGCGCGAACCGAAGGTCGCCTGTTTGATTCCCAGTCAGGGCACGTGCCTGGGTTGCAGGCCAGGTCCCCAGTTGTGGGAGTGCAGGAGGCAACCAATCAGTGTATCTCCCACACATTGATGTTTCTCTCCTCTTTCTCCCTCCCTTCCCCTGTTTCTAAAAGTAAATAAATAAAATCTTTAAAATTCTTTGGCTGCACTTCCAGTGACTGAGATGGTGATAATGATCATCATAGAAGGTGAAAACACCTGGCTGTTCTCCCACCCTGGTAACCCCAAAGAGAATGTGGGTCACTAACAGAGGGGTTGGAGCTAAGTATTAAGAATGGAGCACCCTGAGTCCAGTCTCCAGTGTGGATTCCCCCACCATTCTGTTCTGTGGCCTCCAGTCCGGAGTCAGAGCACAGGGTACCTCCGAGACCCGGGCCCACCCATCTGGTCCTGTCTCTGTTCTCTCTGCTTCACTTCAGTGCTAATAAACACCTTTAACACACCAGGCTCTAGCTTGGCCTGGAGGATCCAGAGATGGTGAGAAACCACCCAGAGCTTCCGGATACCCACAGGGATCATACAGCTACATTTAGGACGTGGTCCTATCAGAGGGGTAGGGGGTTGGGAACCGCACTACCTGGTTTCAGGAGCTGTAACCCCCCCATGGCTAAGGCTGAGTGAGCAACCTTTGGACCAGAAGTAACTAAGGAGAAAAAGCTTATCTCCCTGGCAGAAGCTCTGCTTCTGCTCCTTTTACTTCATCCATAACTGGCCCCCAGTGCTTGATCAATTAGCCAATGAAGGTTAAGATTCCTCAAGGGAGGATCTACCTAATACAGGCACGATCACATGGAGGTCCTCAGGGAAGGACTTGGGGGGCCTATGGAGAAAGGGGGTGATGGACCCTCACCCCTCAGCTTTGACATAGCCTGAGTCCTCCTTCTGTCTTCGAGAAGTCTCCTAATCTCTTGGCTGCCTTACTTCCCCTGCCTGACTTAAGCCTGAAACAATGACAGAGGGCGGTGCAGCCCTGTGCTGGAAAGGGTGGGATCCCTGAGTGATCAGGCCTAAGAAAGAATGCATAAAATCCTCTGAAACCTGCTTTGC